ACAGTTTGTATTATATTACATATGAATACAAGTATAAGTGCTGCATAAGTAATATGACATCGTGTATATTTTATGATGATTGTTCGTCGTTATCTACACGACTACACTCTGAGTCTGAAATAAGTACACTATTTACATTTAAAACATGCAAGCATAAAGGTAAATTTACTTACTTTAAAGCTCTTAGTTCTCCACTTTGCCAATGAACTGTCAAGTGCTTAGGTATTAACATTTCACTTGACATATCTCTCCCATTTTACCCTTTGAAAGGGATTCCAAGGAGAGGATTTTGAAATAAAAGTAGCAGCTCTCGTTTCATAGGTTCGACGCACTTCATTAATATCAAATGACTTCTCTTCTCGAAGCAGAGTACACAGATCGTGTTTGATATTCTCGACAGCCATGACTTCGATCGATGATTGCGAGTTATATCAAGTGATCAAATAACAATGCATTCAACTTTGAAGTTCAAAGTTGAATGCATCGGTGCCATGTGCCCACAATCACAAAATTATGGAAAATGCATCGCTCAGCGGCAAAATCTACCGTGACGTGAGGCCCTAAAACAATGGTTTTGCTGATGTCACAGTAGATTTCACGCGGAAAAGGACTCGGGACCGATGCATCGACCGATGCATCGCAAATCTACTGTGACGTAGCGATGCCTCTTCCATCTACCGTGACGTGCTGGCAGAATACTATTAAATTACTTACTAAATATGTATTCACGACAAAATTTCGCTAAATTTTATCGACTTTTCTTTCGCTATTTGTGTCATGGAATACGACAAAATTATCGGAGAACACAAATGTTATTTCTAGAACAAATTTTAGCTTAAAACTGCTAAATCTATAAGTTAACTAAACAATATATCACTGTCAAATGTGCGTTTTAAATAATTCGAAAATAATATTTGCTATTTATTTCATTAAAATGCAAGCTCGCAGATTTTAATATCTAAATATTTTGACCGATGCATTCGCATCGGTTGCATCGGTCTAGATCCGCCCCTGTATGTAAATGAGAAAGTTATGGCTTCACATCGAAGAGATTTGGAACTGGATGATCTTCAAACTCTCTGGCTTTAAATTTGTCCTCATAAATCAAAGAGACCGATTTTGATATCTGGTGTTTGCCGTCCACCTTCATCTAACAAAGATTATAATGAGAGTTTGGGTAAAAATATTGAAAATGCCCATCTCCAAAACAATGAATTGATTATTCTGGGAGACTTCAATTTAGATTATATTGATTTCAACTGTTATTCAAAACATTTTCTCGCAAAGTCACTGAACTGTCTTGGATTAACGCAGATGGTAAATAGAGTAACAAGACCTGCCTCTGATGCGTGCTTAGACCATATTTATTCTAGTCATCCTGCCAAAATTAGAGAAGTAGCCATAGGTAAATCTGGACTTTCCGATCACCTTCCGGTCACTATCTTGAGGTGCTACAAAACCATGGATGCACAACGTAAACAACATTCCAAATCAAATACAGAAATATCGACAAAATCAACAAAGAGTGCTTTCTGCAAGACTTAAGAGAAACACCTTGGGATATCTCCTTTGTTTTTCGAGATGCCGATAACATTGTTGAATCTTGGTAAAAATCTTTAATGACATTTTTGATAATCACGCACCTTTAAAGTTCAAGAGTGTGAAGAAAATCAATCAGCCGAAATGGTTCACTAATGATCTATACAACGACATAAATAAACGCGATAATCTTCTAAAGAGGGCCAGGAGAACACAAAATGAACAAGATTGGTCTACTTTTAAACTGATTAAAAACAAGGACGAGGAAATTAAGAAATGCGAAGGAACAGCACTTTAAAACTCAGTTCAGTAAAAATCAAAAATGTCCAAAGAAACTTTGGTCTTTAATTAAAGACCTATCTAAAGATACAAGGAATAATGACGACTCCGTCCCTATTGCTGACGAAAACAACAACCTGATAAAGGATGATCATCATTCAATCGCTGAACGCTTTAACCGCTTCTTCGCTGATGTTTATAAACGTCTCATAAAAGCGGCACCTATACTTCATTATGATGCTCTTCCTGGTCCACCAGACAAATCTAACAGTCAAATTGAGAATCTCATTCCGCAAATTTCTTCTAGTGAGGTTAAGGATTATCTTCTAAGTATACCTACAACACAAAGCCACGGGAATCGATGGGCTTGGTGCCAGAGTTCTAAGGATTGCAGCTCCTGAAATATCATGCTCCATAGCTAAAATTATAAATCACTGTATTGAAACTTGTACATTTCCCTCACAATGGAAAATAGCAAAGGTTAAACCACTATTCAAGAATCAAGGAAACAAGCAAGATATTCTAAACTACCGTCCTATTTGTATTTTGCCTATTCTTTCTAAAGTCTTTGAAAGACACATCTTCAATGCAATGAACACCTACTTAACAGACAATGCACTTTTATACCGCTTCCAATAAGGGTTCCGTAAAAACCACTCCACGGATATTTCTTTATTGTTTCTTCTGTACCAAGTCCTTCTTGACCATGATAAGAACAATGTCAGCGGCTTAGTCTTTGTGGACTAAAGCAAGGCATTCGACTTGATCAATCATGACATTCTCCTAGTAAAGTTAAGATCATATGGATTTCCAGATAATGTTGTAAAGCTATTGCAGAGCTATCTACTCAATCGCAGGCAGTGTGTCACTGTAAATAACACGACTTCATCACAACTTATGCTAACCAATGGAGTTCCTCAATTTAGCATATTAGGACCTCCACTGTTTTTAATTTTCGTCAATGATCTTCCCGAAGCTGTTGGATCGGACTCAACTATTCATGCTTACGCGGATGACACCACATTTGAAGCCAGCGCTAATATCGTTAATGCACCTTTGGAATTGGAACGACGTCTTCAAGAATACATGGATAAAGTAAGTAAATGGTCTAGCGAAAACTCCATAGATAACAATACATGTCAAAAGAACTTAATGCAGCATATCATGAATATATGAATAAGAGCCCCATGATACAGGTAAATGTCGTTGGGTGTCCAAATTACGTATCCTTCTGCTGAAAATCAGACATTTTGTTGTAACATGTTTGCAACCCCAAAAAAAGGACGAAACAAGAACACTAGTTGGGTAGGGGGTGGGGGTGAATATTTATCAAAAGAAATCAGCAGGGCAGTGGTGTATATATGAATATTCACACACACACACACACACACATCTCATTAGAGTTGCTGTTTCGCCCCTGTGTGACAAAATATTGTTTTTTATTTTAATCTGCTTTTTAGCATGTCGTATACAAGTTGAATTAGACCATGGTGACATGCACTTAAATTTTTTAAGACTTTTTCAAGTGGTTTGGTTTTGAAATTCTGCAAATTTTCCAGTATAGATATTCAAGCACAACTATTCAGTCTATGTATCATTAGTATTCTTTCCATCTTTTGATTATCCCATTGAAGGTGTACAATAATATAATGTTTTATGAATAATACATAAACGACTTCAGCTTAATAAGAAGAAATATAAAATGCTTCTTGAACAAATAAATTTACATATAACGTGACAATCCTTTTATCAAACAGCATCATCTTTAACAAATAATAATAACGATTACCCAGTTACTATTATCTAACGATTTCTAACACAGGTCTCCGTTTACTTTAACTATTTTATGAGAGTACAACTTTGTCACGGAAATTTTATTGTTCTTAAAAAATTGATTTCAGGGAAAAAACAATATTTTTTGTTGTCTTGATTGAATAATTAATGACATTTGCTCATTTAGCTACAGCATAAATTATTTACTGTAACTGACAATCTTGTACACGGACGTTGTTTCTTTACATTGGCAAAGATAACAGGATTTTTTACTCCTGCTTCATACGTTTGCACAATTCAAAAGAGATTTTTCGTTAATATTTAGTTCTAGATTTAAAAACATATAATTTACTGCAAATGAGTACAACGGTGATGCATCAATTGTAAATAGCTTTAATCCTTTGTTTTATTGTATCTACTACCATCAACACATTCCCGTAATACTTCGATCATTATTTAAATGTTTTATAAGCAAAATGTGAACATTGGAATTACTAGTAGCAGTTACAGAATAAAAATAAGAAATTGCTGTTCCATTAATGCCACACTTTTACTTTTAATTTAGGGCATGATGTCTGAACCTTGGACGTGCATTGATAAATCATCAATGCATCGGAAAAAGTTTAAAAAGATGGAAGAATATCGTAAATAACATCCAACAATGGTTAAATATGTTAATGATGCAAATGTTATTTTCTTGAAAATGTTTCTACTTGGCAAAGTTAATGGTGGAACCCGTGTTTACCTTGGATTCGGAAAAGATGGTTATGGAAAAGCAGTAAAACGACTTAATCGAGATAGTTACATAGAGAAAGCTAAGCAAGAAAAACATACTTTGAATGAATTTAATGCAAAGCATTCGAATGATATTATGAATTATTGGTATTCTGAAAAATAACCAAACGCTGAGTATTTATATTTGGTAAAAGATTTATGTGAAGAATCGTTGTGGAGTTTTGTGAAACCTTCTACTTTAGATGCACTTCAAATAGCGCTTTCCAAAGTGATGAAGCATATAGCAAAAGATTTAGCAGATCTTCACAGTGGCTCAAGTCCTATTCTTCATCGGGATTTAAGACTCTCAAACGTTCTTCGAGATGTACAAGGAAATTTTTTAATCGCTGACTTTGGTATAAGTCGAAAATTGTTAAATAAAACTTCGACGTATGAGAGCCCACAGAGAGGAGCTAAAAATTAGATAGCTCCAGCATCATATGATGAAGTGAATGCATCAATTAACTCAGCCCGCCATAAGAAACAGTTTGATCTTATGGTAGGTATTTGTTGTGGAATTTTAAATAGTGTTGAATTCTGTATCTAACAAATAACTCGCTTTTTTAACGTTTCCCTATCAACCACTCACTTTGTGACTGTTATGATATCTTTTTTATTAAAAATAGAAGGCATGAATGGTGGCTTATTATGTTGCGACAAATGGGAAACATCGTTCTGGACTTGAACGGTTTTTATTAGACAACCTTTTTGAAGGAAACCCTGTTGGCTTGGACGAAATCAAGGATGCCACGCTCGAAGATATTCTTTCGTTGATACTTAAGCAACAACCTGAAGACAGACCATCAGCCAACAAAGCGTTGAAACACCCATATTTATTTTCAGGTGATGAGAAGTTGGAAATGTTGTGTAAAGTTGGAAACCAACATGCAATTAAGACAAATGATGCTCTTTCAAGTGTACTTTAACAATTGAATAGTGAACCCTCTGATTGGAAATGTCAAATAGATAGTGATGTCAATGATTATCTTTGCACATATGAGAAAAATGGGAAAATTAATAAGGTCCAATACGGATCTTCCTGGACGGAATGCTTACGACTTATTCCAAATGTTGGCCAACATTGGTACGATAAACCAAGACTGCATCTTGAATTATTGAAAAATATTGGTGATTCAAAGAAATACTTTCTCAAAACTTTTCCCAATCTTCTCGTTCGGATGCATGCCGCTGTCAGGTCGAATGATGTGATGAACAGTTGTTTTTCTTTGTTATTGTTGTTGCGGATCGCGTCCATATCATGTGATTGACACTTTGGGATTATTACAGAAGGGAGAGTTGTTGTTAACATTATATATTCGAAATGTTGTTGAATTGTGAAGTAGTTTTCTTTGAGACGACTTCGTTGTACAATGAAAGTTCAAAAATAAATCATTTAAACTAACGACAATTCCAAAATTATGTCCTCGAGAATGAAAATAACTATTTTATCGTGCAACGTGCATGATATGGCGCCCAACGTGGGGCGGCTTTAACGCAATAAAGTCGCCCATATTCGTTTCTTACGAAAATTTCGACTGAAGAGAAGATAAAACTGGAAAGGCTTCGTGCTAGAAGAAGAGGACATCGCGGAGTGTGTACTAAATTCGAGAAAGAGTCAGTTGAATTGTTATCACAGCCACCACATGATGATCTTGTAGATCGTAGTGAAATCATCGCACAACAACTCCAAGGGAAACTAAAAATATTACGTGAACTCGATGAAGAAATACTGAACACGTGTAATGTTAATGAAATACAAGGTGAAATCGAGGACTCGGCCGAATTTCTGATAGAGTTATGAGTATAAAACGAAAAATTGAAAAGTATATTAAATGTGCTAAGAATGACAGAGACGTTGATACGAAAGTCAACGATACCATATCGAACTCGAATTTGACGAGCATGTCAAACCCTGGCCAAAACGAAAGTATCTAACGAAATTCTAACGAAAATTTGGCAAATGCGACGGAAAACTATGGTTTAATCGAAGGTTCAAATAATCAAGCGACGATCGAAATTGTAAACGAAGAAAATGTAACGAGTGACAACAGTACGACGACTGTTCAATTTAAGTCAAATATGCCGAAGCTTCCTAAGCTGGAGCTTCCGAAATATGGTGGCAAGGTTACGGAGTGGAGTTCCTTTTGGGATCTGTATGATTCTACGATTCACAGTAATCCAAAAATTTCGAATGTAAAGAAATTCAACTATCTGAAATCGCTTCTCGAGGGAAACGCAGCGAGGGCCATTAAAGGTCTAACATTAACTAATGCCAATTACGACTCTGCTGTAATAATCTTGAACGATCGCTTCGGGAAAACCCAGCAAACCATAGCATCTCACATGGATGAAATTTAAAGATTCAATCTTGTACCAACGGTAGAACTAGCCAAGTAAGATACATATACGATAAAGTAAGCGTTCATGTACGAGGATTATCGAGTCTTGGCGTTTCTTCTGAACAATTTGGCAGTATGCTTATCCCTATTATCATGACTAAATTACCTAGTGACATACGTCTACAAATTGCTCGAAAATCGTCGGGAGACGTTTGGAAAATTGATGAGTTGTTGGATACAATAAAAACTGAGATCGAGGCACGGAAGACAAGTAAACGAGTGCAATCAAGTCCTCAGCCACAAAATGGAAAAAATTCAGGAGGTCAGTACCAAACACCCAGAATACCTACGGCGAACGCCTTTTCGACTCAAAATACTTCAGGTAAACATATTCAATGTGTTTATTGTAAAGAGCCACACTTTTCGGCATCGTGTGATAAAGTAACTGATGTGAATGATCGCAAGAGTATATTGAGGAGAGACAGTCGTTGTTTTGTATGCCTGCGAATCGGGCATCTCAGTAAAAATTGCGAGTCAAAGAAGAGTTGTAGACGTTGTCATGGGGCTCATCATCAATTGATTTGTGAAGTGATTAGGTCAAGTTTTAGGCCTCCTCAACAAAAGAATACATATGATCTTAAATTTTCTCCCACTGGAAACAACCTACCAGAATCCAAGGAATGAAACAGTGATTGATGAAGATAATTACTTAACAACAAATACGGCAAAAACGCGAAATCAAGTTGTTCTGCAAACAGCTATTACATATGGCAATGGTGGGAATGGTTCCATTTCCATACCTGTTCGCGTGCTTTTGGACAGCGGTAGTCAGCGCACTTACGTTACGAATTCATGAAAAAACCGGCTTGGACTAGTTCCCATCAGAAGAGAAGTTGTTAACTTAAATACCTTGGGCAACCAATATTTTACAAAGCAAAAATGCGTCTTGGTTCATTTGTCCCGGAAAGGAAAGAATGGAAATCGAATCATAACAGCTCTTTGCTTCCCAAATATTTGCTCTCCATTAACAACGACAATTGATCTCAATCATTATCCTCTTCTGATAGAGTTGCAGCTTTCCGATACCAATATTCTCTCTGGACGACAGATTGACAGCAACATCGACATTCTAATTGGAGCAGATTATTACTTTTATATCATGAAAGGCGAGATTATAAGAAGTGAAGGTGGTCCTGTTGCGTATAATAGTGAATTTGGCTGGATTATCACTTGACAGATGAATGATGGTGAAACTAATTCGAAATTGTCAATCGTTAATTTAATCATCGAAGATTACTCATTTTCAAAAGAAGTTTCGCTTGACAAGAGAGAACCCAAATTACATGAATGCTTGAAACGGTTTTGGGAGATCGAATGAATGGGAATAAAAGAATCCAGCGAATCACAGGATTAGGATTTTCTGAAGAATATACAATATCTGGAGGATGAAGGGAGATATGAAGTGAATTTACCTTGGAAGGGGGAATATCTTCCAAAATCAGACTGTTACGGTATGTGTTTGAAACGATTACACCAGTTGAAATCTCGTCTCGATAAAGACAAACCCTCATTGCAAGAATCCGATGCAATTATCAAAGATCAAATTAAAGGAGGAATTATTGACCAGTTCTTGTTGCACATGAAACCGGTTATTTCCTACCCCATCATGGCGTACTTCGAGAAGATAAGGAAACTACAAAACTTCGCGTGGTTTTCGATGGTTCGGCAAGAGCTACTAAGGAAGAGCAGTCACTCAATCATTGCATCGAAAAGGGACCAAATTCGGTTCCACGTTTATTTGACACTATGAAATACAAATTGCTTCCGAAGACAGAAAGATGCTGAAGTTTCTTTGGTTTGACGATATTAACAAAGTTCACCCGATGCTAAAGGAATACAAGTTCCGACACCTACCATTTCGTTTAACCCTAAGTCCTGCAATATTATCTACTGTTATTCGTCACCACGTTTCGAAATACAAGAATGTCGATCCAGAAATAGTCTCCTTATTAATCGAGTCGTTATATGTTGACGATTTCGCTGGTGGAATTTCTAATGAGGACGAAGCTCTATACATCTATCATAGATCTCGAAAATTAATGAGCGAGGGAGGATTCAAGCTTCGAAAATGGCATTCAAACTCGCAACATGTCCGAAATGTTATCGCGAATAATGAAGATCGACCGTTTGTTGAGGTGGAAAATGAAAGGAGGTCATCATATGTTAAACATATGGTAAACATTATGGTATGAAATTATATTGATCCACTTCAAATTTCCTATAGACATTTAACTGCACAGGTTATTTGTCTTCACAAAATTGAAATTATGAAACGCAATATTTGAGATTCCTCATTAAATGGTTTATGCTGTATGTTAAAAAAAATTATGTTAAAGCAATGAAGAATTAACATAAATGACTCCATTCATTATTCACTCCGATCGACCTCAAACTTTTTATTCTTGGTATATTTTATAAAAAATAGCTCCAGCATGACTTTTTTCTGACTATTGTGCCTGAGTTTTCATTCTATTCGATCAAAAATGTATCCTTTCTTGATTAATAGGACTGTGCTTTTAGAAGCAACACGTCTATCGAACATGTGAAGCGCAAGTCACAATGAACACACGCATAATTGCAAAGTCATAGCAGGAGTAGCAATAGTAACCACAAGCTCGATTTCTTCAACAAAATAGCACGAAAACTATTTCATTTGAAAATACATAAATTATCGACCATGAAATTCAACTCCTGCAAAACAGGAAACTTGAAAAATCTAATTTGCGTGCAAGTCCTGATGCAACCTGTCTTCTAACAACCAAGAATTTACAATCGTCAGCAATATAGGCTAGGCTCTCAAGTGAAAGAAAGAATGCAATTAGATCAGTATGTCTTAATCAATACAATCGAATTATTTGCGTCACTCGTTTGTGATGTTTTAACTCTTTAGCAGGCAAATTTTTTGTTCTCGTGTTTGAAATTGTTTTGTTTTTGTTGCCACATGCTTTTGCATGCGAAATTTTTTTTTACTGAAAAAAGTAAATAAAGTCGACTAAGAAACTGTATATTTTCCCATTAGTAATTCAAGACAACTGTTTTTAGACTAATGAAAAGAAAAGTCGACATTGGACTACTTCAAGAGGCTCTCAATGGCGCTAGACATAGTAACGACAGCTTGAGCATAGTTTCGGGTGCACCAGCTCAAATTTTTAATGTACTGGATACTGTTGGTTTATATAAATACACAAAGACAAGACTAAAATGACTTTCAAAAAACCGATCTACTTTTCAGTAACTATCGATGAATTCGATAAAGCACTTGAACATTTGAGCTTCATCTAGTTAACTAAAAAGAACAATGGGAGTTAAAAAGAGAAGAGCGACTGAATTCGGCTTCCGGCAAATTTAAAGTGGGAAATAACCAAGCTTGTTTGGCATTTAATGATGTTTTATTGAAAATTGAAGAAAAAATATCTGCATGTAAGATTTCCATCGCAAGTTCTATTCTTCGACATTTTAATGACAGCGAGGCAGGAGAACATGAATCGATGTTTTACTTAGAAAAACTAATTTCATTGCCCGAAGTTGGAAAAGGCATTTTCAAATAATATCCCTTATTTAAAAATACTAGTATGTTGAAAACGTTGACGTTGTACTGACGAGCAATTTAGTATTAATCGACTTCATTTCCAAGTACAGCTCTCAAAGGTACGATGTTCTTAATTGGCCATTGATTAAAAACAGTCAGCATGAGTTTCATCCTTTGTATTTTAAGAAAGTTGAAAATTTTGAGGAAATTTCACCACCTTGGAAGGTATTTGAATTTCGTAACGAAAAACCTTACCTTTCAAAAAGTCACTTTAACCAAGGAGAACCACTGATGACAGAACGTAGATAATTGTGTGGGCTATTTTCGTATATTCATATGGTATAATCCGTAAACACAATTGATTTCAATAGAAACTAATAAAGTAAAACATGCATATATGAATAATAACCTCCCCCTAAATTATCAATGTTCAGATTCTTTTAAAATCTCAACAATAAATTGTGAGAATTTAACCGTGGCGCACAAAAATTTGCAACGTTGATGATTCACAATTTGAAAGTATGACAGTTGATAATGATGGCATGGTGTATATTCTTTCCGGTTATAGAAGAGAAACACTTGAAAATATCGATTGAAAGTTTTTTAAAAACATGGCAACCATATTTTCCAACAGTCTACTTTGCACTTCCTTAACACCAGATACGCAGAAAATTTATTTATGGTCGCAACACAATGTAAAAATTGTTAGTGCATTTTTTTAAGGTGACCAACGTAATGTCACTGTATGTGCATGTCTAAAATCCTACGCTGCACACCTTTCACAACTAATAATTTTTGCTCTATACGAGTGTATTTAGGATGGAATAGTTCATGTAGACCATTTTCAATAAACACAAGTGGATCTTGCTCTACGTTATTTTTATGTTGAATACTTCCATAGAATAGTGAGTCGTATTTCTTCATACATATCGTATACATACATAAGCATTTATGTTTGATGTAGCGTACATAGAAATATGATGTAGCAAAAGTAAAAATTTTACAACAAACACAACTGATGCGAAAAATGATTTTAAAAATTAAAGATTTACTGGGCAAACTAGATATTTCTCTTTCATAATCAGAATATAGAAAACGAACCAATCATTAAAAAGATCAATTACATTATAAACTAGATGAACTACATAAAAAAGTAGTTTAAACAAAGCACAATCACAAAAGATCTTCGTATTCGAGACACACATGTAGAGAATAATACAATAGCAAATATTGTCAATGTTGTCGCAAGCGATATTTTGCACAATAAGCAGATATTTACATTTTTTCACGATGATGTCAGCAATATTAATCAAAAGAAAAATATTGAAAATATAAAAAATTCTCAGTACCATTTGATAGATTAGCATGAGATGAGTGAAAAAATATATTATACAGTTTACTATTAGTCACTCGTTTATGAAGCACCAATA